GCCGGGGAATCATCTGGGCGGCAGCGGGCGGCCCCGGCTAGCGGCCACGAGCCGCTTCTGCGGCTGCCAAGAGGAGCGAAGGTCGCCGGTCTCGTGTTGTCCCCCTCTCCGCCCCCCAGGAGGGGCGAGAGGGAGCCGCGGCTGATGTCAGGTACGGCCGGCGGAGGCGCCCTCAGGCTGCGGGTCCAAGGTCTCGGTTCCCCGGCTCTCCCCTCTCGGAGTGTGTGTGTTGGGGGGGTGGGGGGGCGGGAGCATGGAGGGTGGAACCAAACCCGGGGCGCGGCCAAACAGGTGTCTTGGGGTCGCCGCCGGGGCTGGAGACACGCCGGCTCCTGAGGGAGGCGCGGGGCACTTCCTGCTCCCGGAGCCTCTGCGAACTGCCATTGGGGCCGCCTGCCCACCGGGCCGCTATCTTGTTGACGTGTAGGCTCCTCTTCCTCGCGGGTCCTTTCGCTTTGCCCTCGCGCGCCCCTCACCTCCTCCTCCTCGCGCGCTGGCCGCGGCCGGACGGCGACGGTGAGGCGCGCGCTGCGACCTGGGTCGCGGCCGGACCACTTAGCGGTCCTGCCCGCCGGGCCCTCCCCGCTGCTTCCGACCTGTGGGTCGCGCGCGACCCGCGCTCAGGTGTGGGCATCTTCCGCGAGAGCCGCCGGGCTGCCGCGCCGCCCGAGCGCCCGGCGAGCGGGCGCCTTCCACAAGTGCCGGGAGACTTCCTCCGGGCTTTCTTGGATCATCAGGTTTGTGTATGACTGATTTATTTTTTAAAATTTCCATGCCTCTGGCAGAATGAGCCAGCCAGGTGTGTTGGGGGCAGTTGCTGCGTGGAGGAGGAGGAAAAGAGTTTTTTTCTTCTCCTCCCCCTCCCCAAGTGTGATGTGATTAGGAGACGCTGACAAGTTGACCATAGAGCTTTGAATTTGGATAAATTGGGTACTCTTAAAAGATGAACGTAATTTAGGGGTGGGAGTTTATTTTTCCCCAGCTCTTACCCTCTCCCCTTATTATTTTTTAGAATAAACACAAAAGCATTACACGCTCTGGAAAAGTTGACTAGATTTATGATCTAGTTCTCCAAATTCGTTATAGATATTGTGATATATCCTTTTAACGCTTTTCAGAACGGAAACTATTATGCTAGCTGTGAATTGATTTCATTATGAATTTAAAAGTTAGTTATAAAGTTGGAACTTTGCATCGGAATGAATAATTAGGCCAATGTGTAAAGGGACAGAAATATGTTCATTTACTGAAAGTTGGCATAGAACATAGCTCTGCCTGGGTGCCAGGGAAAAGTGTTGTGCATGATTTCGAGTTGTTTAGTTCTGGTGTAAGTTTAGACAGTGTGAATCTGAGTTTTTAGGAGATATTTAGACAACTTTCCACACCCTTATCAGATAAGTGTCAAATGAGCCTTATGCACGTGATGCTGTGCTCTAAGTATTGTATATAGTAAACTGTATTTATTTTCTGCCAGCCTCGGTATATATTGATGTACAATTTAAGTGAATATAAAGTTTCAAGTTACCAAACAGTTAACTCTTTTTACCATATGTTAAGTAAAACAGTGATTTAGTAAGGAAAGTATGACTCATTTAAAATTCTTCACAGGAAAAGAGTATGGTGTTTCATTACTAGTGGCGAACTATTAAATGTCTCTCTTAAATTTGCCTGGAATTTGTGTTTTTCTGTATCTTTTTATTTAGGATTCAGCATTTAAAAGATATTTGTTACTACCCATTTAAAGATAGGTATGGTTTTTCTTAAATATGCCTTTTTTTTTTGGTATAGATTATACTAGTGTATTTCTAAGTAAATTCAGTACCCAGAAATTCTTAGAATTTTATTACAAACTTATTTGGGAGTACATATAATGGATTAATGTTCACCTAGTCATAGAAATACAAAAGTGTGTGATTTAAGCATATGCTATTTACTGTTTGTATATTGATTTGTCACTGTGTTAAAAGCATTATACAGCTTATGAGCTTTATAAACCACAGTAATTTAAAATAGAGTCTGTGTAATGATTATTCATTGGAATTCTTGTGACAGTGCAGCTATAGACAAACATTAAATGGAAAATGGACAACTTGATGCTGAAATTCAGTTAAGATTCACTTAAAATTTTAAGCTTCCCGGTACAACCATTTTACTTTTAGAAGATTTGTTGAGATTTGAGTAAAGAGGCTACTGTACAAACTTTAGAAAGTTGTAAAGAAAGGTGTGACAAAATTCTTTTACCCAAAATTCATTCTTTTAAAAGAAGGAAGAAAAAAACAACCAATGGAGAATTTCTCATAAAAGAGAAGTTAGCATTTTATCTTAAAAGCTAAATGTGTATCTGATGTGTACTTAAATTTTCACTTTGCAACTGGTTGAAATGTCCAAGGAGAAAATACATGCCCAAATCTGTAATGCGTGAAAATAAGAAGTGTCCTTTGGAGAAAATAAATATAAATAAGCTGGTATTTGTGAAATAAGGAAGCCCATAAGAAGGTTTGTTGTTAGTGTGGTCAAGTCAGTTCTGACTCCTAGTGACCCGGTGTACAGCACAGCGGAACCCTGCTGGGTCTTTTTGTGCCATCCTCTCCCCTTCCAGCGCTGTATCAGACAGTGCTCCAAGGCTGTACCTAGGGCTTTCCTGGCCAGTTTTTTCGGGAGTGGGTGGCCGGGTCCTTCTTTCTACCCTGTCTTAGTCTGGAAGCTCCGCTGAAACCTGTCCACCATGGGTGACCCTGCTGGTATTTGAGATACTGGTGGCATAGCTTTCAGCATCACAGCAACATGCAGCCGCCACAGTATGAAAACCAACAGATGGTGTGGTTCCTTGACCAGGAAGCAAACCTGGGCCCAGGAATCTTAACCGCTAGACCACCACGTGAGAAGGTAGGAGAAACCAAAAAGAAGATCTGAATAAATTATCTAGGACCTGTCGTATGAGCTGCCTTGCACCTTGAAGGGACACATTGAGGGCAGAGAGAGGCAATATTAAATTGGGGAGATTCTGGAACAGGAAACGTGATTAGTTTACAATGAAAGTTGTATATTAAAACATTTAAACTGGTGGAAGTTAGATAATAGGAAGAATTTGAAATTATATACAGCTTGGTGTAGTCATTTGCATTCTTGGTTATTGTATGAGTTTCCTAGGGCTGCCGTAACAAAGGACAGCAAACTGTGTGATTTAAAACAATGGAAATTTATCATCTCACAGTTCTGGAGGCCAAAGGTGTGAAATCAAGATGTTGGCAGGGCCATGCTCTCTAGGTTGTAGCAGAGCATCTGTTCCATGCTCTTAGCTTCTTGTGTCACTGGCAATGCTTGGTGTTCTTTGGCTTGCAGCTATATCACTCCAGTCTCTGTCTCTGTTGTCACAAGGCAGTCTCCCTCTGTGTCTCTGTCTTCATATAGTGTTCTCCCCATTTTCTAAGGGCACGAGTCATATTGGATTAGAGTCCACCCTGATGACCTCATCTTAACTTGATTACATCTGCAAAGACCCTATTTCCAAATAAGGTCACATTCATAGGTACTGGGGTTAGTACTTTAACTCCAATCTTTTTGGAGGACAGTTTAACCCATAACAGTCATGTAATTTATCTTTTATAGTGTTCAGTAAATTTCTAGTACCATGTGACAGACCAAATCAGAGGATACAGTGGGAACAGAGTAGACGACATCTAAATTCATTTACCTGTCTCAGTGCCTACTGTATGCCAGGTTGTAGAGATAAAGCAGTGAACAGGCAGATAAAAATCTCTGTCCTCATGGAGCTTACATTCTAAAACATTGGGTTCTTAAAATATGGTTCCTGGATCTGCAGCATCCACATCATCTGGGAACTTGTTAGAAATGCAGATTTTTCAGGCCCTACCCCCAGACCTCTTGATTCAGAAACTGTATTAACAAGCCTTTCAGGTGATTCTGATGCAGACGCAGGTTTGAGAACCACTGATCAAGATGGAAAAAAGAGATAATAAACAAGATGAGTGAGTAAAATATGTATTATATTGGTTGTTAATAGGTGCTGTGGGTAAGAATAGGGTGGCCAGGGAAGACCCCCTGAGAAGTAAAGGCCTGAAGGAGTTGGGGAGTGAGCCATGTGAGTATTGGGGTGAGTTATGTTCCCAACAGAGAACAGTAAGTGCAGAGAGCCTCACATATTTGAGGAACAGCAAGGAGTCCAGCGTTAGAACACAGCAAGGGCAATAGATAGTAGTAGACTCAGTTTATGAAATTGCTATTTGTTCTTTTTATATTTACAAAAACCAAATACCAAGAGGAGAGATCAGAAAGAGGAGTAGGGTAGGATGGCAGATTGTGTGAGTTCATCTTAAGGTTTTTGCTTTGTCTCTGAATGAGATTGGGAAGACACTGGAGGGTTTTGAGCAAATGAGTGACATGATTTGATGTAAGTTTTAAAAGGATCACTCAGGTAAAATGGACTGGTAAAATGGATTGAAGAAGGAAAAGATGAAGAAAGGGAAAAGTTGATTAGGATTAGTTGAAAAGTTGATTATTGCAGTAGTTGAGAGAGAGAGAGGGAGAGAGAGAGGATGGGAGAAAGGGAAGTGACTTGGACTAGGGTGGTAGCAGTGAAGAGGTTAGAAGAGGTACAAGATTAAACACACACAGAATTATAGTGAAAGTAAGCTTTTTTCCTCCCACTCTAGTTACTTCGGTCACCCAGTTGCCTGCCTCCAGGGCAACTGGTGTTACGAGTCTTTATATACTCTTCTTGAGATATTTTTTGTATATATGATAAACTAAGTTTTAACTGGTTAGTAGAGTGGTTCTTAACTGGAGCTGATTTTGTCCCCCACGGGACATTTGGCAATGTCTGGAGACATTTTTTGATTGTCACAACTAGGGGGAGTGCTACTGGCGTCTAGTGAGTAGAGGCCAAGCATGCTGCTAAACATCTTATAGTGAACAGGACAGCCCCCACAACAGAGAATTATCCAGCTCAAGATGTCAGTTGTGCCAAGGTTGAAACACTGGCTTAAGGGGACTTACAGAGGTTAGGGCATAGATGATGGAGGGAAGAGGACCGTTGCAAAGACAGTAGGAATTGAGGAGCCTACTGCATTGGGATATTCAGCGAACTGTAGATAGTTCGGGATTACTGAAACAAATTATAAGGCATGGAAT